AGTTGTTGTCAACTTCCGGTGTTTCCGAAAGTTCCGCCATATTGAAAACATTTTTAATCGATAGATCTTGTTGTAAAACAATGACGTGCAAAAAATTCCCGATCTAGATATTGCGGTTTTCTAGAAGCTTCTAATGCACGCTCAGCCTGGGATACCCTCTGTACCGGACCACCGTAGTAGTAACATAGGCAGAACCGGATACCCGTCCGCCGGATAAAAAGCAGGCGAAAAAATGCGATAAAATAAAAATAGGTCGATATGTGATAAGAATGTTTCAGATTTTTTAATTTTTAATGTTTTTAATTTCCTGTCTCACAATGTACCGTTTGTGTCCAGGAAGTGTTCATATTTTCATAGATGTCGATTTGCGAAAGAAATCGGTACATTTATTTTATTTCGTATATTTTTCATTTTATTAATTTTATGGAAAGCACTGTTCATTAAAATGTTGTATGCTATGTTATAGGGCTTGTTTCTCTCTACAATTCCCTGTTTCACAATGTACCGTTTGTGTCCAGGAAGGGTTCATATTTTCATAGATGTCGATTTGCGAAAGAAATCGGTACATTTACTTTATTTCGTATATTTTTCATTTTATTAATTTTATGGAAAGCACTGTTCGTTAAAATGTTGTATCCTATGTTATACGGCTTGTTTCTCTCTACAATTTCCTGTCTCACAATGTACCGTTTGTGTCCAGGAAGGGTTCATATTTTCATAAATGTCGATTTGCGAAAGAAATCGGTACATTTATTTTATTTCTCATATATTTTTCATTTTATTAATTTTATGGAAAGCACTGTTCATTAAAATGTTGTATGCTATGTTATAGGACTTGTTTTCTCTACAATTTCCTGTCTCACAATGTACCCTTTGTATCCAGGAAGGGTTCTATTTTCATAGATGTCGATTTGCGAAAGAAATTGGTACATTTACTTTATTTCGTATATTTTTCATTTTATTAATTTTATGGAAAGCACTGTTCGTTAAAATGTTGTATCCTATGTTATAGGGCTTGTTTCTCTCTACAATTTCCTGTCTCACAATGTACCGTTTGTGTCCAGGAAGGGTTCATATTTTCATAGAGGTCGATTTGCGAAAGAAATCGGTACATTTACTTTATTTCGTATATTTTTCATTTTATTAATTTTATGGAAAGCACTGTTCGTTAAAATGTTGTATTCTATGTTATAGGGCTTGTTTCTCTCTACAATTTCCTGTCTCATAATGTACCGTTTGTGTCCAGGAAGTGTTCATATTTTCATAGATGTCGATTTGCGAAAGAAATCGGTACATTTATTTTATTTCGTATATTTTTCATTTTATTAATTTTATGGAAAGCACTGTTCATTAAAATGTTGTATGCTATGTTATAGGGCTTGTTTCTCTCTACAATTCCCTGTTTCACAATGTACCGTTTGTGTCCAGAAAGGGTTCATATTTTCATAGATGTCGATTTGCGAAAGAAATCGGTACATTTACTTTATTTCGTATATTTTTCATTTTATTAATTTTATGGAAAGCACTGTTCGTTAAAATGTTGTATCCTATGTTATACGGCTTGTTTCTCTCTACAATTTCCTGTCTCACAATGTACCGTTTGTGTCCAGGAAGGGTTCATATTTTCATAAATGTCGATTTGCGAAAGAAATCGGTACATTTATTTTATTTCGTATATTTTTCATTTTATTAATTTTATGGAAAGCACTGTTCATTAAAATGTTGTATGCTATGTTATAGGACTTGTTTCTCTCTACAATTTCCTGTCTCACAATGTACCCTTTGTATCCAGGAAGGGTTCATATTTTCATAGATGTCGATTTGCGAAAGAAATTGGTACATTTACTTTATTTCGTATATTTTTCATTTTATTAATTTTATGGAAAGCACTGTTCGTTAAAATATTGTATCCTATGTTATAGGGCTTGTTTCTCTCTACAATTTCCTGTCTCACAATGTACCGTTTGTGTCCAGGAAGGGTTCATATTTTCATAGAGGTCGATTTGCGAAAGAAATCGGTACATTTACTTTATTTCGTATATTTTTCATTTTATTAATTTTATGGAAAGCACTGTTCGTTAAAATGTTGTATTCTATGTTATAGGGCTTGTTTCTCTCTACAATTTCCTGTCTCATAATGTACCGTTTGTGTCCAGGAAGGGTTCATATTTTCATAGATGTCGGTTTTCGAAAGAAATCGGTACATTTATTTTATTTCGTATATTTTTCATTTTATTAATTTTATGGAAAGCACTGTTCATTAAAATGTTGTACGCTATGTTATAGGGCTTGTTTCTCTCTACAATTTCCTGTCTCACAATGTACCGTTTGTGTCCAGGGAGGGTTCATATTTTCATAGATGTCGATTTGCGAAAGAAATCGGTACGTTTACTTTATTTCGTATATTTTTCATTTTATTAATTTTATGGAAAGCACTCTTCGTTAAAATGTTGTATCCTATGTTATAGGGCTTGTTTCTCTCTACAATTTCCTGTCTCACAATGTATCGTTTGTGTCCAGGAAGGGTTCATATTTTCATAGATGTCGATTTTCGAAAGAAATCGGTACATTTATTTTATTTCGTATATTTTTCATTTTATTAATTTTATGGAAAGCACTGTTCATTAAAATGTTGTATGCTATGTTATAGGACTTGTTTCTCTCTACAATTTCCTGTCTCACAATGTACCCTTTGTATCCAGGAAGGATTCATATTTTCATAGATGTTGATTTTCGAAAAAAATCGGTACATTTATTTTATTTCGTATATTTTTCATTTTATTAATTTTATGGAAAGCACTGTTCGTTAAAATGTTGTATCCTATGTTATAGGGCTTGTTTCTCTCTACAATTTCCTGTCTCACAATGTACCGTTTGTGTCCAGGAAGAGTTCATATTTTCATAGATGTCGATTTTCGAAAGAAATCGGTACATTTATTTTATTTCGTATATTTTTCATTTTATTAATTTTATGGAAAGCAATGTTCATTAAAATGTTGTATCCTATGTTTCTTAGGCTTGTTTCTCTCTACAATTTCCTGTCTCACAATGTACCGTTTGTGTCCAGAAAGGGTTCATATTTTCATAGATGTCGATTTTCGAAAGAAATCGGTACATTTATTTTATTTCGTATATTTTTCATTTTATTAATTTTATGGAAAGCACTGTTCGTTAAAATGTTGTATTCTATGTTATAGGGCTTGTTTCTCTCTACAATTTCCTGTCTCATAATGTACCGTTTGTGTCCAGGAAGGGTTCATATTTTCATAGATGTCGATTTTCGAAAGAAATCGGTACATTTATTTTATTTCGTATATTTTTCATTTTATTGATTTTATGGAAAGCACTGTTCATTAAATTTGTATCGCAATTTGTATTTATTCGTGTTTTAATAGCCAAAACGAATACGTAGATTCTCGCGACAGTTCTCGTGTAAAATTTATTTTTTAAGTATAATAATGGATGTTTATGAAGTTCGTGAGAAAATTCAAATTGTAAAATGGTATTTCCAAAATAGGTCTTATCGGTATATACAAACAATTTTTCCACAAACTTATGTAAACAGGCCAATTCCATCTTTATCTACTATATCAAGAGTTATTAATAATTTTGAAACACATGGGTGCGTGTCCTCACAAAAACACAAAAAACCTGATGTGTTGATTAATGAAGAACAGGAGTTAAAGCAAGTGTTCGTTTGTGCTACCGCGGATCAAAATCCCACGTTTTCAAGTAATCAAATTGCTGAGGTGGTTGCCCTGCCCACAATGCCCATATTGTTCAAGAATATTTGAACAATACTTTTCCCAACCGTTAATTAGTGTATATGGAACTATTTTGTGGCCCGCTAGATCACCAGATCTTTCTCCCAATGTTTTCTTTTTGTGGGGTTATGTAAAATCCAAAGTGTATGGTCATAATAGGGCTAATAATCTGGATGAGCTTCAAGTAAAAATACGAGAGGCTTTCCTTTCTGTCTAGCACAAGAAGGTGGTCTTTTTGAACACTTGTTATAACTTTTTTTTTTATTTAGAGTAATAGTATAGTTTTTTTGGGGGTTTAGAGAATTTATTTATTTTTAGTTTAGGCTTGTAATCACACTCAAATAATAAATATTTAAGTATTTTTATTTTAAATGTTACCTTAAGTGAAGGTAAACACTTAAAATGAAAATAATAAATACTCGGCACTCGCGTCATATTCCTAGTGTGTCACGACCGACCAGTCCAAGCACAACTGCAACTGCGTACTGCCTGACCAGCCGACTAACCGGCAGTGACTCTCGAGTACGAACGCAAAACGGGTAAACGTAAATTCGTCCGGCAACTTGCTATGTTACTAGTAGCCTGGTCTTCTCTGTTAAATAATGGTAGCTAACTTCATGAGAGACTGATATATTAATATTTTCTATTTTTTTTTTTCTATAGGAAGCATAAAAACAAAATACCATATACGCAAACAACTACCTCAATGCAAATGACATATAAATAGCTAAACAAGAATAAGAATATCAGAAGAAAATATTAATATATCAATTTCTCATGAAGTTAGCTACCATTATTTAACAGACATGTGCCAAATCAAAATTAAATGAAAAGATCTCCGGTTTAAACTAATATTTAAACTAAACAGATTAATTTTAAGTTTTACAGGAAGGTATAAAACTGGACCTCAGGGCTCGGACTGGATCTTTACTCGTAAAAAATAAGATTAACAAACAAAAAATGGTTTCAGACGGTATATCTCTATATTTTTTGGATTTTAGATTTAGTAGAGAAATATCCATCCATTTTTAAAGAAACTCCAAAATGTTTTCTTAATGCAAAACGGCATCTTTTTCATGTTGATAACCACTCGGTGAAAGTGCCGCTACTGCCCTTGACCATTCTCTCCTTCATAAATAATTCAGCACTTGATAAATAAATGTGACTCGATCATATTTCAAAAGAAAAAACGAAAAGGAAGTAGAGAAATAAAAACGAATTTTTCATTCTTTCTAGCTGCTGTTGGTTACCACCTACGTCGTCGCATCAACAGCTTTACCTTTGGAAGAAAAACGACCAGGTAAGAAAAAATAGTTTGGAGTAAAAATAATACTTTTTGCGGCGAATCTGTATATTTGACATTATAGGCGAGGTACAAAAAGGCATTTTTATTCCAAATGGAAAATACTAATTTTTTCAAACGTCATAAATAGCTTTTTAAACAATTTCAAATGTTGCAAATAATATAAAAAGATTTAAAAGTAATACCTTTTAAGTAATTAGCAGCCTGGTTCCGATTCTGCAGATAAAAATAAGTAAAAAAGTTCTTATAAATGTAATGTATGTCCTAAACTGCTTAGTTTCATAGATACAGGGTATAGAATTTTCATTTTTATTTCGATTTTTTCCAAATAATTTCTGAAGTAACGTAAATATTTGGATGAAAATTGGTATCTGGGAGTTTTTTACATGAGAAATTTGATTTTGATGTCAATATGACTCCTATTTGTAGGGGGCACCACCTATTGTGTTTTAACTGTTTTGAAGTAATGGTTTTTCGTCCGTACCTGTATAAAACTACCGAGTGGAAAAATATACATTTCCGATGTTTTTTACGTAAAAAAGAACCCTTGGTAAAAATCGCTACGAGCATCCGTTCTCAAGATATTTAGAATGAAAATAGTCAATACATGTCATTATTGACAAAAAATAAACACGTTGAGTAGATAGACTGCAATAACTAGACCTAGTTATTTGACTGAAAAATAAATTTGGGAAATTTTTATTTTTTTAAATTAATCATAAATTTTTTAAGAAAAATGATGATAAAATAGTTTCTGTTGAACTTTTGGCAAAAAACATTTCAAATTTATGATTTCAGTCTAATAACTATATTTAGTCAACATGTTTAATTTATGTCAATGATGATATAGGTATTGATAATTTTGATTCCAAATATCTCGAGAACCATTACTCATAATAATTTTTACCGAAAAAATATCGTAAATGTGTATTTTTTTACTCAGTAGTTTTATACAGGTACGGACGAAAAGTTATTACTCTACAAGTCAGTTACAAAATATGTAGGCGTCGCCCTCTACAAGTAGGAGTCATATTGACATCAAAATAAAATTTCTCATATCAAAAAACCAGAGAGAAACTAATAACTAAAGTGAGAGGGCTTGTGGAATAGGGCATTTCGTAGACAAGTTTATTTTGTCACCGCGCATCCCAGACGCGCATAACGTTTAGGCTGTCAAAAAAGGAAGTTTTCAACGTTGCAAGTTAAACATTTGACAGGATTAATTAGATTGTCAGTAGCTTTTTCTATTTCTTAGTTCTAGAAGGAGATAACTAAAATCTGTTGATAATCGGAGCAAATCGGAGTAATAAATTGTTTTTGACTGAACGTGCCTGTTCTTTTAGCTTGTTAGAAGAGAAGATTATTGTCATTATTGATTATTTCAGATTCCACGATTATTCGGCATTTTTGTAATTTTTGTTTTGTGGTTGAGACCCAGACAAAGACCCAGACTTTCCTTTAAAGGTAAGTTTTATCTCGGTAATTATTTTAACATACCTAATAGTAATAGTGAGTGCACAAAATAATCGTACATTGCTAATTTATTTTTTTTTAATTTAAAACATCACATTCTTTTCTGATACCTATGGAACGACTAGGTATTATACCTGGTATTATTTCCAGTAATACAAATTATTTTCTTTAACTGCTAGGTTCTTGTTATAGAATAAAGACTATCAAAAACATTGAATACCTACGGGATACCTACTGATACTCTATGCGAGCTCCCAACCGTGCTTCCCTGTTCACTCCCAATCAAGTTAGATAAAAAAAAATACTGAAGATTGCAGCCTTGAGTTGGAGTATGGCAAGAAGTATGGAGTTAAATAAATTATTATGTTCCTACACACTATTTTATTTATAGGTTTTAATGCTTTAAAGTCTAATAATAAATTTTCGTTGTCAACAAAATAATCTAAAAAAAACTAAGATTTCTTATTATAAACTTGAAAGATTAAGATTCAGTTCAAATATACAAATTTTAAATTTTTGGCGCCAATATATAGGTATGAATGCAACCTACTATATCGATAATGCGCTCATAGTTCGGGTTAGACGCCAAAGGCCGCGCCACTAACACAGTCTTCAAAAATTAACGTTGATCGGTCTCTCTCACTTTAGTTATTAGTGTTCTCTCTGCAAAAAACTTCCAGACACCAATTTTCATCCAAATATTAAAGTTACTGCATAAATTATTTGAAAAAAATCGAAATAAAAATTAAACTTCTACACCCTGTATCTCCAAAAACTAAGCATTTTAGGGCATAAATTTATACGAACTTTTTTACTTATTTTTATCTGCAGGAATACAGTTCGGACCACCCTGTATATCGAGAAACTATGGTTAGACTCGTTGAATTTAGTACTTATGTCAGTAAAAATTAATATGTTTTCGTAATTTTTTGCTGAGACGTAAAAGTACTTTTTTATATTGTCAATCACGTCATAAAAATTAACGTTTTAGGACGTTTGAAAAAAAATAATTTTGTCTTAAAGCGTCATAGAAGCCTTTAAAATAACATTTACTTATTTTATTTAAAAGTGATTTAACAGATTTATAGACAAAATAATAATTATTTTTATCTCACGTTTGATCTTGGGCAAATAATATGAATAGTGTGAAATTCCATTTTTTTTTTCTTGTCAACTTCACTAAACTATCTTTTTTTCATTCATAGACGTGTTCCTGGGGTCGAGATATACCACCCTGAAAATATTTGCACGTATTTAAGACTCATCCTGTATATAATATACATTTTTACATTAAAGTATAACTTTTGTATCAATTTTGATAGTCTAGAAACTAATTAGAGTCACTTGACCGTGTTGAAAGGTCCAAAAAACGACATTAACTTAATACTCCAATATAAAATAAAAAAATATAATAAATCATGATAAATTTTTACAGAATTATACTTTTCGCTTTCATTTTTAAATGAGTAAAGACTTAACAGCTTACACAAAAAAAATATCGTAATATTTTTCAGGTCCATTCCCTGGAAAGTCACCCTCGGACTTAGTAGCCACGAAAAGGAATAATATTATCGTTCCAGCCAGGACCTTTTCTAATCCTCTGCAAACCGAGGTTATTAATGATCCCGCACCTTATCTCGTTAAGGTACCCAGTAGTATTATCGTCGTAAGGCAACCGACTATACTGCTTCAGCCCTTCGTTCAAGGTGAGTCTTATAAGGATATAAGAAATGGAAACAAAGAAATGTTCATATTATTCGAAAAAAATATGGATATTAGAAATGTTTTATTATAGTTTTTCACAGAACTGTGATCCACAGCTAAAGTGGAGTGAGAGTAGCTCAAGTGGAGTGAGTGTAGATTTTTTTCAATCTTGTGGTATGGGTCACTGAATGATTGAGATCGATTTCACAGTTTTTGTCATTTTTGTTTACATTTTGAATGCTAGTATTGTCTATATAGGATGTTTCAAAAAACATATGCCATCTCTCGTGGGGAGATTTCTTACGTAAAAATAAAATTTAATTTTTATATGCTGTTTTGTTTTGTAGCTACAGGGCGTTAAAGTTGGGTTAGGTTAGGTTAGGTAAAAGTTATTTTACTATAAAGTCTACATATTTTAATGCTTAAAAAAGTGTCGACAGATTCACCAGAGATATGCATATGTGTTATCACGGGCATGTCTCCTTGATGAGATAAACGCAATTTTGTTATCACAATTAATATAATTAAAATTAAAAAAAAATAATAAATTATTCAAATTTTATTTAATCTAATTACTAAGCTTTATTAAAATTTTAACGATGATATTCAGTGCTACCCACAACAAATAAGTTTTAACATTCAACTTTAAAACTATGCATTTACATCCATGTTTATAGGAACTTTTTTTTCATATAGATATCAGTGAGTACTTATTTGACACATGGTCAGTTAATGACATATTTTTTTTTAAAGGTTGCTATTAGACTTCAATTCAGACAAATTAATAAAATTGCGTTTATCCCATCAAAAATTTATCCTCAAAATTTCAGCCAAATCACTAAACTTGCTTGGAAGAAAGTTATAACAGATCGTTTTTTTAAACACCCTGTATATTTATTTGAATTCTAGATTTAGATATGCTATTTCCCGGTGAATTTATATTCTACAGGGTGGTCCGAACTCTGTTTGAAACACCCTGTGAAATATGTTAAAACAGCAAGAAATTTAAAAATTATTTTATCATCTCGGTACATCCTTTCTCGATGGTTTATTTTTTGGTTCATCTCATTAGCTTTATTTTTGTTGGAAATATTCGGTTTTAAAGAAGGCACTAACATTTTTCGTAATTTTTACATTAAAACTATGCCTTTGCTTTTGGGCCTAGTCAACACATCTAGTAAGTTCTGGTCCCGAAGCAGGCCTTCTTGACATAAGATTTGCTTCATTTCATCTTCTTCTTGTAGTCCGTTAGTTAATATGTACGGTTCTTAAGTGCAATTCATTATCAATTTGAAAAGCTGGCAAACGGCGGTTTCTTAGCGATAGACTTACAATAAGTCGATCGTCTCGATTAGAAGTTCTCATACGAAGGTTCTTGGACGTCTATATTGACGTTCTCATGGACGTGGTCATAATTCAAAGACTATTTAATATACTCTATGGTATTAAGGTATTTTTGGAACCAGAATTTTATAGCAAATTCACTAAACTCGAATAATTAAATGATATATATTTGACTTACCCTGTATATCTATAAAAATATTTTTGAAATGTGAACTACTATTAAACATATATTTTGTAAAAGGTTTGGAGTGAAAATCTCAAATAGGAATCCTGATACAGAACTTTTGATCTTCTGATCTTGTACAGGGTGGGTCAAATTCGACGCTTTTAAATGGAAACACCCTTTTCTATAGGAGATAGACGAAAAATAATATCGGTGTCTGGAGCTCAATTTTCATCAAAAACATGATGGTGAAAACCGCACATCAATATCTGTTACCATTTCGGAGTTACGGGGCGTTTTTCAAAAATGTGCATTTTTAAGAAATCTCTGTAACTTTTTTGCTATGGAAAATTTTGTATTTCTATGAAAACATTTCCAAAGCACCTTTTTACTGTATAATTTAGTGGTTTAAGTATAATTTTTTTAAAACTCTCCGAAACGGTAACAGATATCGATATGCGGTTTTCACCATCATGTTTTTGACAAAAATTGAGCTTCAGACACCGATATTAGTTTTTGTCTATCTCCTATAGAAAAGGGTGTTTCCATTTAAAAGCGTCGAATTTGACCCACCCACTAAAGTGAAAGCAACGAATTTAAATAGGTAAACTTTGTAATATATCTTATTAACAGTACAATGCAAAAAGTTTTATAAAAATTCGTTCACAGTAAATGAATTCCGAGGTTTGTATCTCATAAGGGCTTAAAGAACTCCACTATACCGTAGACATTTCGATCGTATAGTGTTATACAAAGATAATTCTATTTTCCAAGACGATATCTATATCTTAGATTAAAAAGAAACCTTTTATCATTTATGATACACCCTAATCATACAATGTTCCTCCTCCTTCCCAAAAATAAAAGGGCCGCAAACCTCAATAACCCATAAATCCATCATTAACTCCTCCAATAAATAAACAAGACTTATAGAAAGGGGTCTGAATCGATCCCCGACCGCTACATAAAGGGCTTGTTTTAGGGGTTAACACGGCCGACGACGCCAGACCCAGCATCAGTCAGCATCAGCAGCGCTTCCCCTATGACGACGTATTCTCCATTCAATATCCCATTTACCCAATCGGCATATTGGAGGGCTTCGGGGGATTTCCGCCGATAAGCCCGGGGATTCAAGGTAAGATGGAGAGCTTTCGGAGGTTAAGGGAATGGGCAAATTCGGGCAAAAACAGGTGGATTTTTATCTAAAAGTCTCCTAATTTAAGTTTTTGCCGGTAAAATTGACGTTTAAACATAAGAAAATTTCCAGAGTAAGATAATATACAGGGTGGTCCGAATTGTATCCGGAAACTTCGGCAGCTTATTCTGCGGAAGTATAAGTAAAAAGTTCGTATAAATTTATGTCGTAAAATGCTTCCTCCTGGAGATAGAGAGTGTAGAAGTTTTATTTTCTTATCGTTTCCCAGATAGCACATTTACATCCTCAGAACGTCCTGAGGATATATGTTTAGGACATTTGGACGTCCCGAGTATGTCCGTTTAACATCCGCGAACGTCCCCAGGATATACCAAGTATATCCTTTGTTACAAAACCATCAATCCCCGGTACGTCCGATATGTGCTTCCTCAGTAGGTTCAGTTATCATGATTGGTGTCAATATCTTTAGACTACGAGTTATACCATTCTTTGGTTTTGACTGCTCATTTGTATGCTAAGATATTCGCCCAGGCACGGTTGGAATATAAGAATATGAGTACATTCAACAAGGCCTTTAAGCTGAGGCCGCAGTGCAAGCAAGTTACCTGGAGGGTAGTGGGCATCGAGGCACCAAGCGACCCTCCAAGTAACCCGCGAGGTATGTTCCGTAACATGCGATTTTAACCAAACCAGCCGCAGTGCTATCCCCCACCAACTTAAGCCACAAAGCAACTCGCCAAGTGAGCCAATCGAGGATCAGTCGTGTTCGATACTTACAGCTAGGCGTAAAGTAGGTTTGGTCTAAAAATACAGGGTGGGCCACTGAAAACTTACAATGGCTATAATTTTTAAACCAAAAAAGATATCAAAAAAATAAAAAATACCGTTTCTATAAAATTACCGGGGAATACATATGACGTTTTTTTTTAACCACCCCGACCTACCCCTAAGGCGGCACCACTACTCACTTGAAAATCTTAAATGGCAACACCCCACTTGCGACGCCTTTTTGGAAAGCCCATGAAAAATGCTAAACGACGATCATAAAGTTTTTAGGGTGAAATTGAAAAACTACCTCTTACACGAAAAATTAGGTGGACATTAATGAGAAAAGTGATGTTTTGAGCATAAGTTACAAATTGGGACCCAGCTAAATGAGGTTTTTTTTAAACTACCCCGACCCACCCCTAGGTGCCACCCCCTCACTTCTAACCTCAAGATAGCGATACCCGACTTGTGACACCTCTTTGGAAAGCGTATAAAAAATGCTGAACGACTGTCATAAAAAAGAACGAAAAAAATAGAGCCTAAAAATAAAACAAAAATGTCAAAACGTGTCAAAATCAATAGAATGAATTATTTGTGTATCCATGAACTATTGCGAGAAAAAAAAAGCTGGTACACAAAGAAATTTATTATAACTCTTAATGAAGACCTTATATTTTCAGCAAGATGGAGCTCTTTCGCATTATTCTATTGTCACAAGGCGGTGGTTGGATAAATATTATCCAAGGCAATGGATTGGCAGAAGGGGTCTAGTCGAGTGGCCGCCAAGGTCACCTGATCTCACTCCTTTAGACTTTTCCTTGTGGGGTTACACTAAATCCATAGTCTTCAAGACAAAACCGGGTTAGTTGCGAGAATTTTTTTGCAAGGACTTTCCAAAAAGTGAGAGAAGAATTTGAAAATCGTTTGTATTTTTGTATGGAACAAAACGGCTGTCATTTTGAGAAATTATTAAAATAAATTATCATTTTAAATTTCTTTCAAATTGTCACACCTACATTTCTTGTCACTAACCAGTAATTAAGTTGAAGTCTGTATGAACATCGTTTGGCAATTTCAATTAGATTTCCAAATAAGTGTCACAAGTGGGGTATCGCTATCTTGAGATTAGAAGTGAGGGGGTGCCACTTAGAGGTGGGTTGGGGTGGTTTGAAAAATACTTCATTTGCGTCATTTAGCTGGGTTCCAATTTTTAACTTATACTGAAAAATTTTTTTTTTCATTAATGTCCACCTAATTGTTCGTGTAAGGGTAGTTTTTCAATTTTACCCTAAAAACTTTACGATCATCATTTCGCATTTTTCATGAGCTTTCCAAAAAGACGCCACAGTTGCCATTTAAGATTTTCAAGTGAGTAGGGGTGCCTCCTAAGGGGTAGGTCGGGGTGGTTCAAAAAATACATCATATGTATTCCCCCTCGATATTATAGAAACGGTATTTTTTATTGTTTTGATATCTTTTTTGGTTTGGTTTGGTTAAAAATTATAGCCATTGTAAGTTTTCAGTGGCCCACCCTGTATATTTATTTTTAAATAAGCGGGGTTATTTTTAGATATGAGAAATTTGATTTCGATGTCAATATGGTTCGTACTTATAGGCATACATGTTTTTTAGCTGTTTTGACCGCTAATAACTTTTCGTCCGTACCGGTAAGAAACTACTCAGTCAAAAAAAATAAATTTCCGTCATTTTTTACATAAAAAAGGTCTCTTGGTAAAAATCGCTACGAACGATAGTTCTCAATATATTTGCAATGGAAATATTCAATAGATGTCATTATTGGCAGAAATAAACATAAATTTGGGAACTTTTTCTTAAATTAATCATAAATTTTTCTAAAATAAATTATGATAAAATATTTTTTTATAAATCTTTGGCACTAAAACATTTCAAATTTATTATTTCAGTGTAATAACTACAATATGATCGAAAAAAACGGCGTCAGCGATGGCTATGAAATGAAGATCGCCGTCATTTTATATTATGTAAAGTTTGGTGAGGAATGTCATCGATCGTCATTTCCAATCCAACTGGACGCCTTTTTTCCGATCATACGGTATCTAGTCAACGTGTTATTCGTGTTAATTTTTAATTAAATTTTTTTATTTTTTATATTTTTATTAACTATTTCGATTCCAAATATCTGGAGAACCATTACTCGTAGCGATTTTACCAAGAGGCTTTTTTTGCATTAAATATGACGGAAATTAGTATTTTTTTACTCAGTTGTAATACAGGTTCGGACGAACAGTTACTACTCTTCAAAACAATGAAAAAATATGCAGGTGGTGCCCTCTACATGTAGGAGTCATACTGGCATCGAAATCAAATTTCTTATGTTAAAAAATACCCAGATACCAATTGTTATCCAAATATGGACGTTAATTCAAAATTTACTTGAAAAACCGGGAATAAAAATGAAACTTCTACACTCTGTCTCTCCAAAACGTTATTTTCATCTGCAGAATATGCTGCCGAAGTTTCCGAATACAATTCGGACCACCCTATATATTATCTTACTTTCGAAATGAAAGGGATGAATTTGCGATTGAATATTTTAGAAAAAAATTGTCTTACAACTAATAAACTTCATAAAACTTTCACTTTCCTTGTAATATTCTGAGTTTTTTTGCGCATATTAAAGCCATAATCTTCAGGAATAAGTGCCTGTTCCTCCACATTCCCACAGGTATATTTTCTAAATTTTGAAAATTAATCTAGTATATTTTTTCTAGTAATTCCACTGGAAGGGAACCTGTACATAGAAGAACCTACAAAACTGCCATCTATCGAAGAATCAGATGACTCAGACAGTGTCACAGTAGAAGCATTGGATTTGTACAAAAAATATTTAAAACACAATTCATAACGTGCCGCTTAAAAAAATATTTATGTGAAAGAGGCTGAAAATAAAAAAATATGAATTTCAATAATTTTTTTATTAAATTGTTCGTATATTTCTAAATGATAATATTAAAGTGCTAACACCTTAAAGAAAAACTGTGAAGTCGAAACTTTGAAGATTTTTTAAATGCGCATTACGCAACGCAAGGAAATAATTAGATGTACCTGGTATCAAAGCCTGGTATATCAAAACGTCAGAACTTACGACCGAGAAAAATCAAAGATTTTGCTTGATTCAAGTAAGAACAATATTTGGATTGTGACGGGATTTTTAACAGGACACTGTCTCCTCTATGAACAACTCGGTAGATTAAAGCTAAGACACAACGGCGAATGCAGATTCAGTGAGGAAAATGGGAAAACACCAGAACAAATCATCACTGAGTGCGCCGAAACAACAACCATTCGTGCCGTAAACTTTGCTACGACTGATATCGGAGATGGAGAACTAAGTAATCTCTGCAAAACCGTCTCAGATACTGGCTTTTCTTAAAGCCCTGAAACTGTATGATGAGTTATAATTCAAGAAAGGGGGATATAATAGATCTATAAGGTGTCGGTGATTAACTTCCCCCTCCCAGACAATCTACAACCAATATCTTTCAAACCTTTCTTTCAATAGACTACAAATATCTAAACTACAAGTTTCCTGTTACAAACTTGCAAAAACTGGCTCTAAAACTCCGATAAGAAACCTATAAATAACGTGTAAATGAAGCAGTAAGGAGCTAAAAAGTCTACATCAGCTTAGTACCCATTACACATCATGTTTTAAAGGTCTATTTCAAAAGAACTCCGGCTTCGTGTCGATCGTCTTTGCAACTTTATTTCCTGACTCTTAAATAGAGCCTCTATACCGGCTCTATTTAAAGCCGTCCTATTTATCGGTAAGTGTGCAGTGGCGTACAAACTATGTTGGCTTTTTTCTGTTTTCAGGAGCTCGAAAGCGAGCTAGCTATATAAATTGTTGCTGCTGAACAGAGATATACAGGGTGTCCCCGGATTGTCTTTACAAGAGGATTTTTTTTTATTTTTGACATTTTGAAAAAAATGCAATCTTCATAAAAAAAATGCTTGCTCAAAAATGGTTAATCGCATTTTGGGTTTGTCACATTTCTATACTGTTTTAGAGAAAATTAAAAAAAAACATGAATATATGGTTGAATTTTTTCTCCTAAAGCTTCATTCAGAATAACAACCACTAATTTATTCCACTAATTGGGAGGTTCCGAATGAAGCTTAAAGTCCTAAAATCTAAAGGCGTTTCTATGGTAATATAATTTCGAGTTCATTCATTGATAGATTGCATAGATAAAGGAAATAAATTTAGATTGGAAAGCCCGTCAAAATGTATAATTGTTTTGGGTCGCGACCGTTGTACGCGATCTGGCGCTGCTATAGCGGTTACTAAGAACAACAGCAAACAATAACAGAAACAATTATCTATTTTCAAAGTCAGAATCTTGAAAAATTATAAAGTCTCTCAAAATTTAAACTGCCCTCATTGAAAAAATACCGAAAAGTGTCCATTGAAAAGTGTTTTGAGCCATTCTCAAAGTAATTATGGCTATCTTGTGGGTTTAATTTTAATTTTACTTACTCAAACCGGTGATAATTGTGAAAAAGTGGCTAAAAAAAAATAAAAAACTGTGTTGTGAACTGTGAACTCCAAAAACCATCGTGGATTGTGAGATAACGTCGATTTCCAATGTTTCATAGGTATTTCACATACATGTCCTTATATAAAATAAAGTTTCTTGTATGAAACACACTGTATTTTATTTATAAAATTAAAAGAAAATAATAATAAATTTGAATAAATAATATTTGGCGACATAATTCCGGAAAAAGCCGAACCGATCCGAAATTATCAAAAGCTTTGGGTCGCGACCGTTGCAAGAATAGCGCCAAATACATGACCGTTGCAAGAATAGCGCCTTTACATTGTCCTTATGGGCACTTTCCAATCTAAACTTGTTTCATTTACCTATGATAGATTGTTATAATTAATTTTGATTACCGTCATATTTTTTGCTGTTGTTAAAGTACCAGATTTCCCGATAACTATTATCACCCTTTCCATTGCATTGAATTAAATACATTTTGAGCTTCTTTAACATTTTAAAACAAAAGAATGAAATCGAAACTATATTACCATAGAAACGCGTTTTGATTTTTACTTTTTTTATTTTTCTCTAAAACGGTATGGAAATTTTGAAAAGTATAAACAGAATTAATCATTTTAGAATAAGCAAAAATTTTGATGAAGAATGCATCTTTGCCAATAATATGGTCGATGACCGCGGTTCGGATTCCGCGTAAACAAAGTACGTCCCGTCCAGATTAGCCCTAACAGCAGAAAAGAGAGATTAACTTAAAATGTACCCATATTTACCTTTGAATAAAGATATTTACCTATCCAAAATATTAATGAACGCTCTGTAGCTAATCTTTTTTGCTTCTTATTACTTTATTCGCGCCACAACTTAATCGTCCACTATAACAAAATTTGTTACCATCGTCTGACATCGATATATGACGACCTGCGCCAAACAGTTTTTCTTCCGGAATATGATACAGATGTGGAAGACATTCAGGAAGATTATATTGAACAGCCAGTAACATCAAAAAAACGAAGGAACTCTATTACAGTTTAGGGTTGGAACCTTTGGTGTTACACAGCAAAATAAAAACACTAAATCACCACAATACACCAAAAACACTTTTACTTTTGCAGATGATTATAAACTCAGTTTATAATCATCTGCTGATGATGCTAACATGGTTAGCGAAACGCGCGTCCAGTGCAAAAGTAAAAGTGTTTTTGGTGTATTGTGGTGATTTAGTGTTTTTATTTTGAAGGAACTCTGATGAACCTTCCACCTCAAAAGAAACCTAAGTTGACGACATGTGAATTAGGCCTATTGGAAATGGGGAGACCACTCATACAAAAAAAAACGCGCCGGGTAATTTACAAGGCTTTCAAGGCAGCTCCCTGTGAGATAAGGTTAAACTTGATTTTCCACCAGTCGCGCAACAATAAAAATTTAGTCCGTTATTGCGGTCATAATGCAAATTGCGTTCTTCCATTATGACCAACCAGTAGCAAACAAGTTTTTAGGCTTTATGTCTCGGGGGTGCTGCTCAAGGTGGTGTGGAAACAAGTACAGTTAACCCCGGATATATTCAACACATACCTTATATCAAACTTTAATTTTGTTTTCGTAAAATTCGATACTTTGGGTAGTCGCACAAAAAAAACCATACAACGTTTTTTATAGAGTTTTTCCTCTTCTTTAATTTTGGTCTCTACATATTTTGCACTAAAGTTGATAGAAATTGAGTTATTGACAAATAATGAAAAATAAACCGAATTTTAGCCAATTTTTCCAAAATGGTGGCCAAATCCGGGCTTTACGGGGAGTGCAAATTTAATGCTTGCTTCTCGCCACCAAACTAAACAAAATAAAACTTATTCCAGCATGTCCGGATTTGCTCCCGCCATCGATGCACTTGCCGACTGAACTATGTACCCATATTTACCTTTGAATAAAGATATTTACCTATCCAAAATATTAATGAACACTCTGTAGCTAATCTTTTTTGCTTCTTATTACTTTACAGTTGAGGGTTGGAACCTTTGGTGTTACACAGCAAAGTGTTTTGGTGTATTGTGGTGATTTAGTGTTTTTATTTTGCTCTTATTACTTTATTCGCGCTACAACTTAATCGTCCACTATAACAAAATTTGTTACCATCGTCTGACATTGATATATGACGACCTGCGCCAAACAGTTTTTCTTTACTTATTTCCAACTCATTCATAGCAAATAAAGCAGCGCTTTTCTTCTCCTTTTTTCATCCGTGTTCTTCTTTTATTTGGCGAAACAAGCGCGGAAACTGGTAGCGCCTCCACACGGAAACTGAGGAAATTAGATAAAAGCCTTACTGGGGGATGATTATTATTTTTGTCTTCTTTAGAGGTGGCAAAAGAGATTGAAAATAGGGCAGGGGGTTGGGGGTGAAAATAGATATAAAATGCTGGAAGCGTCTGTACTAAAATCATTAATAATTGTATATTTTATTAGATATACAGGTTGTTCTAAAATTACATTACTTGATTACACTTAAGTTGGGAATTATTTTAGACAAATATTTAAAATAGACATATCCTACTAAAACAAAACTAAAGTAAAGTTCAAGATAATAAGTTCAAAATAAAAGTTATTAAAATGTTTATTAACGAATACCGTATTTAATTGTATTATAAGTTCATTTCAATTAAACTTTTAGTCACGTGATTAAGCTTGACCGGCACAGCGTTGCCCCCTTTTACATATTTTCTTTTAAAAATAAATTAATTACAAACATATAAACAGTTATTATTAACATCAACAAAATTCGCCTCTTTAACATACATACATACATACATACATACTGCGATTACTCGCTGACGAGTATTCGACACACATCAAAAGATTGGTCACGCAAGGCGTTCGGTCACGCAAGGCGTTTTCTTTCATGAGCTTTTCTGTGACTGAAAAGTCCGATACATGATGTTATTTGCCTACCGCACTCCGGACATTCAAAAATCTCATAGCTTTGTTGCCTCTTTATTTTTTGGTTGTCGCTGTTAACTGAATTTACAATTCTTCTCCATTGAGTTCTATTGTGAACTGCTTCATCCCAATGATTCTGCATGTTTTTAAGTTTTCGCATCCCCTTTAAGTTTTCGTGGAAAATGACCTTGTACCTTTTGAGTTGTCCACCCGGCCTCCTCTTTCCGTCTACAAGCTCACCGTAAAGCAGAGATTTTGGTATGCGGTTTTCTTGCATTCTGCATACGTGACCAGCCCATCTTAAGCGGGATTTTGTAACCATGACTTCAATACTCTCGCAATTAGCTTTTTCAAGGACCGATACGTTTGAGATGTGATGGAACCACCGGATTCTTAAGAGTTGTCTAAGGTGTCTCTGTTGCAACTTGTTTCATGCGTTCATGTGTCGGCAGTACGGCACCCAGGTTTCG